TCAACATTGTCCATGAAATCACTGGTTAATGGGTAGACGGGTCTGATTTGATTGGTCAAGATTATTGTCCGTCATTGTTTCCAGTTGCCCGATTTGTTAGATTAAAAAAAAAAAAATCAATGGCTGTGCACTGTTACATAGACGAACCTGGAGCTTTATATTTATGCATTAAGACGAGTGTTCTTTTCCATGCAGAGGTGTACAATTATGTTGGTGTCATTTGAAATGTTGAACTATATTTCTTGTATCTGTGTAATGAGCCATCCACCATTTAACGTCACATTGTTTAAACTGCACCTGTCCGAGCTTATAATCATTCCATCATTGTTCTTCATGTCTGCTCACATAGAGCAAAAACTAATCTACCTAACTATATTTCTTGATGCATACAATACAATTTTTTTTGTGCGCTAAATTGTTTTTTCAAGTATGTTTCATTTAATATGATTAACAAATCATGTGGCATTTTTTAAAAGTTTTCTTCCTAAATATCAAGTAAAAACATTTAAACTTGCTTTAAAACTAAAGTAGGTTTCTATGAAAATAATGGTGTTGTCAATACGTGTAATAAGGTTCCAGGCCAATGTTTCTTTACACAGCAATTCAGTGAACGTGTTATAAATACCGGACTGTTTTGGCTAGATTGATTCAAAGAGGTTCAATTAACATTTTTGCCGCTACTTCAATGTTGACTTGAATATGTATGTGAACAATCAGTGTGTTACGATCAACCTTGCACAGTTCTGTGAATGCACAGCTTAACCTGGTCTTGTTGAACATTGTGAGAAATGTGGTTATTTATTTTATGAGTTATAGACACTGCAAAATTCACAGTTACATGTTACATCTCTTGATAATCGAAAACTGAGTTGTTGTCTCTCCTCCTCCCACCCCCCACCCTCCCACCAAGAAACCAGACACCTTTCATCAAAGTATGCTGCAGTATTCTGTTAGCTACTCTGTTTTAAGTTAGAAACTCAAACATATTTTTGACCCAACAACAAAAACACCGCATCTTGAACAAAATCTTGTGTTACAGAATGATGCAGTTTTGCTTTCTGGTCATTTCCTGCTTTTAATTTTGGTTGGATGGCTTTTGGCCTCTGGCTAGAGGTATCTTCATATGAATAATTAGGCCTGTAACATATTGGCAAAGGTCATAGATTTTTTTTTTTTTGGTGGTTGAAGAAGATAAAAAAAAGGGGTTGGGGGGGTGTCTTAATTTATTTATGCAAAGTATCTAAGTATCTCATTGAACCCAATCAATGTTAGTTCAGAGACAAAGATGTCTCACCCAACCTCATACCAAAAGTTAAGATTGCCCCCCAGACACACCCACCCACCCACCCACCCGCACGACCCAAAGGTTAAGTACCCATCACAGACTGATTGATATGAACATAAAAAAAAACTTTTTCAACATGTGCCTTATTTTCCAGTAAATCAAACTCTGCTAACATATAGGCACGCATGAATGCACTTTTATACCTTGAGCTTAAACATTGTAAAAACGTTTTGTCATTTAGTTGATATGTGTTGTAAATTTACTCAGTGTATGTAAATAATACTTTATTGAACTATACATTTTGGAAATATATCACTTGATGTACAAATTAATATATTTTTAAAAATCTTCACGTTGTACTTAATGGCGCGGCAAAGCTGATCAGCAATATTCCTATACTCCAGCTATAATAATTATATATAGATTTATACCTCCATATTGATATAATGTCCCGCCTAACATAATAATGTTCGTCTAATGAATAATTGCTGACTGATGAAATGCTAACATGTCTATTGACACGCTTGACGCATTTGGTTTTTAATTTTCTTGGGTGTTTGTATTTCTTGCCGTTGTGTCTTTGCGCACCGAGGAAATATTTGATCAAGACAATCCTGCATTTCTCCGTGTGTCAATAATACCATTACATTTATCTTTTGTTTGATGGGTTGAGTGGTACAGGTAATGGGCGGATTCCAGAGTTGTTATAAATACATTGGGCATTTTGCTCCCCCTTTCTTGTTACTCTCTAACCTGACAACAACAAGGCCACATCTTGGACATTTTAAATTAGATGCAACCATAGCTATCTGGAATTTAGAAGTTCAACAGGAACATTACTGTTATGTCTGTGTACCATTACTGTTATGTCAATGTATCAAATGGAACCATATGTCCAGGTACCATTACTGTTATGTCTATGTACCATTACTGTTATGTCTATGTACCATTACTGTTATGTCTATGTACCATTACTGTTATGTCTATGTACCATTACTGTTATGTCTATGTACCATTACTGTTATGTCTATGTACCATTACTGTTATGTCAATGTACATGTATTTGATAACATTTTTTGACATTAATTGACAATGCATAATACCGTTTTGGTTTTTGTAACAAATGCTTGAATAACCCAAAATTATGCAACAGGATCAGATAATAAAATTGTGAACAATTAAGAGTGTGCAAGTTAATTTTAAACAGCTTTTTTTTATCACATTTGCTTTCAGTTGGTAGTTGTAATAAAAGTTGCTTTCAGTTGGTAGTTGTAAGAAAGTTGCTTTTGGTTGGTAGTTATAAGAAAGTTGCTTTCGGTTAGTAGTTGTAAGAAAGTTGCTTTCGGTTGTTGTTGTAATAAAAGTTGCTTTCGGTTGGTTGTTGTAAGAAAGTTTCAGTTGATTGTTGCAATAAAGTTTTCCTCCGGGTTAGTTAAAAAGGCAGTCATTGACCAACCCTTCGGGTAGCATGGTTATAAACATGGCAAGCAGAAATGTCTTCAGTTATTTGTTTGCACCTGATCCTATCCTTCAGCAGTAACCAGGGGGCCCAAATGATGTCACACTCACCAGGTCAGTGCGCTGATTGGTGACCAAGTGGTTTTCTTGAGTTTTTACAACAGTCACAGTAAACTTAGGGTTTGGGAGGGGGCTGGGGTGGAAGGCATATTTAATTACGTGCTAATTCTTGTCCAGTGTCTGTATTTAGAAATGTCTGGGATTAATGCAAACAGGAACTCCCAAACCATATTTTACTTTGCCGTTCAATGTGTGACCTCGTTGGCGTACTGGTTACCCCACAAATCTGCTGAATCTGAGTCAAAATATCTCCTCTGCATACTCTACCTTTTTTTTTCTTTCTTTTTTTAGTTATTCCTCTTAAACCTTTTACACATATATTTTATGATTTGTGGCTTATGCCAATATTTCTTTCATTTAACTGGCATGTTATACATATTTTCCTATGAGCTGATGATGAATTTCTTGTTTTTTTCCCCCCATGATCATGCATCAATAAAGAAAATGACTCAAAAGAAACATTTTATTTTGCCTTAATTTTTACATGAACCAATGTCCGCATTGTAACAGTTTCTACCACTCTAACTTCTAACAATATCTTATCTAACAATCTCTACTTTCAACAATGTCTAACTTCTAACATTCTCTACTTTTAACATCTAACTTCTAACAATATCTAACCTCATATCTAGGCACATGGGACCCGTCACATTATTATTATTTTCTTAATAGATTCCCCCCGTCCTATTTTATTTCGGCCCGCACAAGTTTTTTCATATAGTATTATGGCCCGCCTTACATTTTGAGTTGTGCAGGCCTGTTCTAATTAATCGGAGGCATGGATCTGACATACTAGATGTAAGAAGCTATCAAGGAGCAGATGCAGACTCTGGCAATCTACTTGTAAAGGTTAAATATAAGCAGAGAATAAGTATAATACGCAATGGCCGAGATCAAAGAGAATAACGATCAAAAACTTACCAAAGACCCACTAACCGCAAAAGCTTACTAAAATGAAGTAGAAGCACAACTAGAAGCATCACAGGAAGAAATAAACAGGGAAAACAACATAAATGAACAGTGGGGTGGATAAAAAGAATGCTAAGAAAAAATCAGCAAGAAAATAATAAAATTTCAGCAAACTAACAGCAGAGTAGGCTGGTTTGATGTTAAAATGCAGAGAAACTGTCAAAGAAAGGAACAAGGCCCGAATGACCATGATAACATGTACAATATAATTTTTAAAAAAACATTTCCATTTATTTAGATCAATAAAAAGAATCTTATCTTTATTATTTTAGCTTGAACTATCTATTTTTTACCCCATAGAAATTCTGCCCTTTAGGTATAACTTTATTTTCAGATGTCTTTTTTCTTTTGGTCATCTAAATCTGGTTTTTAAACCATTACATTTATATTGTATTTATCATGAGACAGTTGATACTCTTGTCCTTGTGGAACTCACATAACAGTTTAGTCAGAAAATTAGATACATAAGCTACAGGAAGATGAGGTCACGGAATGGCTTATTGAGTGTACCAGGTAGTCATTATTGTATTTGGTTGTGTTAACTCTAGCCTTGAGTTAAGTCTTGTGTTTCATTATGTCAAATCTTGTGCAGCTGAAGTAACTTTAAAAAAAAAAATATTCTATGCATTTGAGTTTCTAAACCTACAAGTTAACAGAACCATGTTTACAAAACCTTATCATGTCTTCTTCTTAGTTGCCACACTGAGTTTTCTTTCCATATAGCTTTGTGCTGAACAATTCTTTCCATTTATTTTTGTTCTCAACTATTGTTTCTACTCCTTTCCATGTCACTGCCCAAGTACCACCTCTATGTAGTCTGTGATCTTCCTCTCTTTTGCCTTGTAGATTCTATTATTTAGCTTAGTTTCCTCGTGGCATGGGGAGTTCATCTCTACTGGCCCCTCTGTATTTCCTGCTCCACAGAACCACTCCCTGATATTTCTAAAATGATCTTATTTTTTAACTTTTTTTCAAACCATTTGAAGATATCTACAGAAACAATCTGTTTCAATGACATAATCTTTGACAACTAAAATCTCCAGACTTAATTTAAGCCACTCACTAGCAGCAGATGATCCTAGACTTTGCAGTGTTAGTCAAAGAGCTGTTTGTTGGTCAAAGATTGAGTAACAACATATAGGAAAATAGATGACAACTACAAAACAAATGCTTGCAGACTTCTGTTTCTTTATTTTTAAAGAAAAAATACTTCCAAAATAATTGTCTCTACTGAAATAAATAAATAATTTTCTTAAGCATCCCATTACCATGACAATTTTTAAGAAAGTTGTTGAAAACAAAACTGAACATGTTTACTTTGTGATTGTGTAGAATTTTCTGTCAGTCAAATTAAAGATTATTTAACATTTCAGCAACATACTTGATGATGGTTACAAGCAAGGAGAAGAAATACATGGCAAAGTCAACACTTGAATATCACAAGACAACAAACATTTCATCACGCAGGAAAAAAACAAAGTACATTCTTTATTACCCTTCATTGGTGGCTATGAATGAACTCTAAATGTTTAAATAGAGATAAGTCTGAGTTGTACACTAGCCTGATTGGTTGATTCAATTCTTTAAGGATTGATTTGTTGAATGACGACCTCAAAGTGCATTGGGGAAATCATTTGTCTCACTTCAGGGATTTGAATTTTTTTTTAAAATTCCATTTTATCCATAATTATTTATTTCCCTATGGATAAATGGAACATCAAGGTGAAATGGAAACAAATATTTTTTCATTTTATGAATTTCTGATGATGAATTCAATTTGCATTTAATTACTTCACCTTTTAACAGGAACTATGCACACTTTATTTATCAGTGAAATTTTTTAAAAGTTACAGTTCCAAAAGTATTTTGTCCCTGATTAAGTCAAAGTCAAACCCATTCAATTTTATGATTACAGTTTGAGGACTTTGTCAATTTATTTGACTCCAATAACATTTTACATAATTATAAAAATCAAGATACATTTAGATACCTGAACGCAGTCCTCTCCGTATTTCCTTTACATTTAATAACAAATGTGTTATCTTATAAAAACTTTTTAAAAAATGATTATATAATACCACAGGGTAAATAACATAATTTTATCAAATAATTCTGCCATACCACAAAGATAAAATAATTCGGTTTACCCCCAAAATTTATTTATCCAAGAGAGTGAATAAAAAGTGGTTAAAATTTTGTCAAGACAGTTGTTATTTGATAATTTATTGTCTTTCAAAAATAATTGGACCATTTACTTTGGCAGTGGTTTATTTCATGACATTACTGTTTTCAAATAAACCATAAAATTGGTCCACAAAAGTTTTACAACAATTTATTCTTTGAACAACCCTGAAGCACTTATTATATTTAAAATTAAAAAAAAACAAAAAATTGTTATTGTAATCTTTGTGAAATTTTATTCCCAAAAATCCATAACAAAGTATTTGTTGGAATGAAATAAAAATTAATTTTTTTTTTTTAAACTGATAAAAATGAGTCACAAATACATGCAAATTTAATTACCTGGATCTGGGATGAATTTTTTAAATCATTTTGTAACCACGAGAAAAATCCAGTGGTGACTAAGGTGTGTAAGAGGTGAGTTGTGTTTCAACAAGAGTCGCTGACCTAGTAACGTCCTAATCCAGGACATGAAAGGTGCCTCAAATATCTTACCATAAAAAATTGTCACTGGTCACACTACCGGCATCATTTTTGCTTTAATTAAAATTATTTTCCTGCGTTAAATCAGCAAACTTTGAAATTGGATGAAGCGAATAAAATAAGCTAAAGGTTGCTGATATCTTGTCTCACAATGTGTTGATTTCTCCAATGATGTTCACTTGTCTCACAATGTGTTGATTTCTCCAATGATGTTCACTCTCCTCTCATTGTACTTCTTAGATATCTCCTCCTCCAACTGACACAAAAATGAATAAGTTTTTAAATCAATTAATTCAAATAAACTTCATTGAATGCAAAACAATGATATCAAAGTTCAATTTATGAAAATTCAGTCAACAAATCTTTTGCCATTCAATTTGTTTCTCTCTTTTTTTACTTATTCTTATTTTTAAATGATGATTAAAATAATTCATTGGCAACGTTAGTTCTTTGTGACCATGTCACTCTTTTAAAAAAAATTACAAAATCAATCAAATTGTAAAAATCAAAGTTCTGATAAATTATGTGCCAAGGATTTCATATGTAAACCAACAGTAAAAAGTTCTGATAAACTTAAGGGCTGATGAGTTAGATGTAGCCAAAAGCACAAAGTTCTGATAAACTAAAGGGCTGACGAGTTAGATGTAGCCAACCTGTTTCTTCAAGACTTTGGTTTGTTTCCTCAAGAGTTCCAATTGGGGTTCCAGCTCCTTCTCTTCATCCACTGCTTCCTTCCATGCCGCAGCCATTTCTTTCTCACTCAGCACAAACTTGTCGGCCAGTGAAAGCTTCTGTTTTAAAGAGTCACGAAGGCGATCCACGTATCTGGTGGAAATATGATGGAATCAGTGGATACATTTTTCAAAATAGGTGATCCACTTATTGGGGTTTATACATGGGCATGCTGGATAAATGTTGCAACACAATCTATCAGTAGGCCAAAAACTAAACAGCAATGGACATGGGCGCTTGCAAAGTTCGGAGCAAGACCAGTTCAAGGTTAGGCATCTTCATTAACAAGTGTTATGATACCTATACATATTCCACACTTGACATATCAAAATGAAATGAGTTAAAACCATTAGTTAAAGTATTCAGTTAGTGCTCGACTTACGACCACGATTGGTTCCGACAGACCGGCCGTAACACGATTTGGTCTTAAGCTGAGTATGCTATGAGTACAGTAATGTAAAGTGATGTTATAAAAATATTTAAGTTACATTTTTTCATAAATTTATTTTATTATTGTTATGAATCATAATTTTTGATGTACAAGACCGCTGATGATTGCAGACGTCGTTCGACTGATAATTAAGGCATTAATAAATCTGAAATCTAATACAGTATGGCTAGTGTTTGTGGTCGTAAATTTGAATGTTTGTACATTACTTAGGTCGTAAGTCAAGCTAGGTGTATATTAATATATGATGCTTACAAACACAGACAGAACCACTGCAAGAAATAGAAGGAAGAGGAGTGAGCAGACAAAGACAGACAAGATTCATACAGACTTAACAGAAATCATGGACCAACCTGGGGGAGTCCCTAATCAACATGAGATGCTGCATCTGGACACTGGTCAGTTTATCCAAGATATCCTTCACCTTGGTCAACATGGTGGTGACCTTGTCGAGGTCAATGTGAATATCACTTGGGGCAGACGACATGTGACTGGCATCTCCTGTGTCATGTGCAACCTCGTGGGCTCTTTGAGTTAAAAATGCTTTCAGCTGTGAAGATGGGGTTTTACAAAGAGAGACATTTTGTACAATAGACAAACAAAAAAATGCATCTATAATTTTCACATCTTTCAATATTGGGAGGATTCTGTTCATTAATTGGTGCGTGGTTAATGTGTTGCTAGGATTTAAAACTTTGAACATCATCAGTGTGCTATTATCTTACTGACAGTGGTAACCTGTCTAGATACTTTACCTAGCAGTACTAAAAGAGCCATGGAAAAGATCAGAATGATTCTAGAACCGGGCTAAAAGAGAATGTATGGGGTACTCACCTCGAGCAGGTCATCAATAAAATTGTTTCTGGTCTCTGGGTTGTCAATAACACTCAGGGCATCCTTCCCTGTCGCAACCCCTGACTCTTGACCTATCTCTGTGGATTCTATTGGAGTGATGTCCCCTACAGCTCCCCAATCTATTGTGTCAATGTCAGGGTTCTCTAAGACAACCTACGGGGAACATTCCATAACGAACATTTCATATGAGGACATTTCATAGAGGGACTATTTCATACAGGAACACACTCTTAAAATACTACATTTTCATATTATTAAAAATGCATTGAAAAAGAAAGCATACCTTCTCATTTGTTACTTAATGATCAAATATTTTTTTGTGTGTTTTCCTGATTTTTTTTAATAAGCTCCCTCAAAATAAAAATATTTGCTGATTTCACATTTTGACTAAGAGGTGAAACAAAGTAAAAAAGCTATTGGCTCCCAACTCCTGAAATATGACAATTTCTTCCCTGACATTAACCATTATTTACATTACTTTCCAGGTATATGTTAACTCTGGCATGACATTAAAATATTTTGTTAGTTATAATCCCAAGAAATACACATTAAAAAAAAAGTTTCACTCAACACAGGACTATATCAGGATTAAACACACAAATACTAATCAGGCCTTCATATTGTGATGGTGGAGTCAAGTTGTGATGGAGCAGACATGTTGTGATGGGGCAGTCATGGTGTGATGGTGCAATCAACATGTTCTCTTACCTCCCCATCAGCTGCCAAAACTCCACCACTCTCCACAGTTATGTCCCCTAAGTCAAAATCTATGGTGTTTTCTCCCAAGTCAGTGGCCCCCCCTGCATCAGTGGCTCCCCAGTCAATCACATCATTGGTCCCTAAGAGTAGGGAAAAAATAAGATAGTTCATTAAAATACATGAAAGGACATTTTGTTACTATCATTGTGATGGACCAACAACTAACAAGGCAAGGAAGGCCTGACTTGGGCTTATTATGTGTAGAAACAAGTAGAAATGTGCACAATAATTAATTTGTAACATCTATGGCAATAAGCCAGATGTTCAGAACACAACTTCGAAATGAGAGATGTAGCATTTATTATATGGCAAAAAAAAAAAAATTCTGATTAAATTTTTTTTTTTTGAAACTACCTTATTTGTACAACCACAGATATGGTTAGAAATGTTAAAATACTAATTGAATTCTATTCATTACAGACACATCTACATATTTTATATGTATTTTAAAGATTCCAATGGATCCCAATTCTAGGTTAAGTTGCCATATTACAAATTAGTTGCTCTATTATATGAAACAACTCTTTAAGGCACTAAGGTATTACCATTGGCAGCAGCATCTTGCTCATCAGACAAGTCGATGGCGATCTCCTGATGGTCGGTACGAGTTGGTGGTTGTCCTGTCCTCCATTCATATGTGCTGGTGTTTCCTTTGCTAAGTATGTGCTTCAACAGTCTGACGTTTTCAGCAGACGCAGACTCACTTTGATAATCAGTTGTAATAAATAGTGTTATAAAGAATAGCAGGATAAGTATACAAAATTTAACTTAGGTAATTCATTGATAAACTGATTGATACACTGATTGATAAACTGATTGATAGACTGATTGGTAAACTGTTTGATAAACTGATTTATACGCTGATTGGTGAACTGGTTGATAAACTGATTGGTGAACTGATTGATAAACTGATTTATACACTGATTGTTGAACTGATTGATGATTGATAAACTAATTGATAAACTGATTAATGATGGTACCTAATGTTAAAACTCAGTTATTTGACAATGAAAAGACATATTAGGGTTAGTTACAGACTTACTTGTTGCAGACAAACTTGGTAAACTTGTCATAAAATTGTACAGCTTCTTCTAACGATTTTGCGGACACAGCAAATTTACTCAGCTCAGATGGGAGATCTTTGACCAAACTGGCAAGTTCTGATTTTATCTGCTTTCCCTGATGACAAAATCAAAAAGAAGCAAACTGAATGGAGACAGGATTGTATTTCTTTCAGGTATCATGATAAATGGAAAAGAAAAGCGTTAATTAGGCCTGAGTGGAAGGAAGTGGTGAGGCAGGTCGACGGCCTACATGGACTGGATGGGTGTATGCAATAATAGATAATACATTTTTTTTTTACTGCACACTAATATCCTTAACTTCAATAATTTACACAACAAAACTACCAAATAGAAATAATTTGAAATGCTGACTCATCTGTCTGATTAATACTATGTCCCTCTGTCTTCAACATTAGTTGAGATTTAACATTATTAACAAATCGGCTTCAAAATTTACAAAGTACAGGAAAAAAGTTAAGGGAATTTTAAAAGGAACTTTTTTGGTATTTCCTTTGATAAGGGGAATTTTTATCTTATTATGAATAACATTTTTAGAATTTGAACCCAATGATGGGAGTTGCATTTTTTTTACCTCAATTCCTAACTGCTTACAGGAAGCTGCATACTGTTTCCGCAAGTCTGCCGAGCTGGCAGCATATTCATGTTGCTTACGTGTGCACTCCTTAATTATAAAATAATTAATAATTGTCAGTTATAGAAAACTGAAAATTGAGACTGGACACGAATCGATGCTTCAGATTTTGTAATGAATTCACCATGAAATTTTGGTTTAAAAAGAAGAAATATTTGCCAGAGGCAACAAAACAAACATAACATGATTTTAAAAAAAAAAAGAAAGAGAGAGATAGAGACCCACTTTTGCACAAAATAAGTTCACGCCTTAGAAAAATATTTTTAGCATATCTTTTTATTGCAATTATGAACACAAGTATAAGTTTAATAATCATAATTTAATATTATTATATATTATAATATTATGGATAAATAAATGTACCTTCTGAGTCTGTTGACATTTACTGATTTGTTTCTTAAGAGCAGGCACTTCATAGTTGACATTGCGAACAATGAGCTGGGCAGTCTCAGCTGCACATGGTGAGAAAATAATTGTCAAAATTGAAATTAAATAATTGTCAACAGTGTGATTAAATAATTGTCAACGGTGAGATCAAATAATTTTCAACTTTCACATCAATATCCTCAAACATGGTCATTCATGTAAAAGATGTGATTCATTTCAAATGTTTAGGGCTGTTACATGCATCCTTTAATTTTTAAATGTTTAGAAATAGAGTGGGGAAGTCATTTATAGCTTACCTAAAAAAGTACCATCTTTCTCATACAGCTTCAGAATGTCAGACCATTCCTTAAAAAAATCAGAGAGAAAAACAAGGTAAAATAATCCGATATATAAATAAATATCTTAACAGCTCTAGTTTTATAGTGTTGAATATAGGAAAATTTAGTTTTACTCAATATAATTCAATTTGCCTGAACAAGGATATCATAAAAACACATTATTATTTAGATGGAAAATATATGTACTTTTATTATAAACATGTGTACATTACATCACGCTCAGGGGGTGGGGGGGTGGAGAATTTGTGATACTTTGTGACAGGGGGGAGGAGGGGTAAAAAATCTGTGACTCACGATTTTTTAATCTTATATAGTTTGAAGACATTTGGATAACATGTATCTAAATTTAATTTCCCAATATTAACAACGCAATTAAAAACCTCCACTGATGTTTGGGTTTTCCCAATAAATCTTATAATGAATTAATAATAGTAAAACATAAGTGATAATTTATTGAAAATAAAAAAATACCGGTATCTTAACTTTCAAATTATGAATTTTTAATCAGCGGGTCAAATATATCTAAAACAAATCTACAATTTAAGGCATGCCAAATTTTGTGTTAGCCAGTGTAATTTATTCATATTGAAAATGGCATTTGTCCAGTATCTCAAAAACTTGAGCTGTTAGGGGAAAACAGATGCCATATTTGGAATTAGCAGGTCAAATACACCAAGATACTATTCTAACATTTAAAGCGCCAAATTTATTAGTTTATTTACTTTTGTAAAGTAAGTCAATATCAAAACAATAATGTTGTGTTTTAAAAACTGTTGACAAACTAGATTTTATATGATATTGAACTACTTTCTAAACACACTTTAAGCACATTTGAAGTTGTCTCTTTCATAAATCTTACGTTATATATTAAAAAATGAAGTTTTTTAAAATTACTATGTCAGATGTTGTATAGGCGATGTAGTTTTTTCTCAGGTACAGAAAGAACAATAAATCAATCCAGTTATAAGTTATATTTAATTTACTTTAAAACCCTGGAGTTAAGAAATACCCTTAGTCTAACATGGTCCAGTAAATAGATAGATGCCTAATGTGCTAAACTCATATGCTAGAGATTAACCTCAGCTATTATATCTAACTTTTTATAAGGTATAGGTCAAGGCCATGAATGTCAATAAACAATGTCAATAATATGTTTTATCTATTCATTACTGGAGAATTTCCAAGCAGTTAATAAATGAAACATTTAAAGGGGGGACACTTAACACTACTGCTAAACTGTCCAATCAAATGAAGGTTTGGCATTACTGTCCTATCAAATGGTGATTTCAGCTAAACTTCCAATTAAATGGAGGTTTTATAGATGAGAATCAAATGTAAAGCAGAGAATTTGTTTTTTAGAGGAACTCTTATTACTTATGTATTAAACAGTTACCTTCATACACTGTGAAGTATACTGCCCTAATAAGTTTTTCTTGCCAATGTCTGAAGATTTGAGGTGCTCAACTAACTGTTTTACTTGGAAGTAATTCAGTTCTGCAATAATATATGGGAAAATAGTATTTAACAATAATTAGTCAGAAATGTTTGAAAAACACCAATATTAGAGTCTATTGAAATGTAAATAACTTATTTAGATTCTTTTATTTGAAATTTAAAAACATTAAAATATTTTGTGAGTATTTTGTTCAAACTGTCAGTCTATACGTGTTAATGATAAAAGCTCTTGAGTGTCTTTATCCTTTATCTCCTCAGCTAGTGTCAAGTCTCTGGCTTTGACCATCTTTTCCCTTATGACTGTGATAAAGGCTTGGAATTGTTGATTACAATGACGTCTATTAACAAGCCATTCTATGTGAGGAAAAAAGTAAAGAGATGTCAAACTTAATAAGATAAAAAATAAAGCTAAAAAGCAAGGTACAAAAGTTTGAAAAACAAGTTTATAAAAATACCTTCTTGTTGAGAGAGAATATTTAGTAATGAAGAAGCAGTTTAAAGATAGTAAACAATGCATATGGAACTTATATTTTTTAAGATCAAAGAAAAATAATATGCCTCAAAATTTAAATAAAATACTTTTATTATAGTTATAGATCTCTACTCACCCAATAGTTTATTGTAATGAATGTCAATGGGCAGTGATTCTAAGGATTTCTGTGTCATTCTAATAATAATTCATGAAGAATCTGCAAATAAATGGATTAAGTTGTAAGAACGCTGATAGGATCTAAAGATAAAGTAGATACATATTGTTATGGATTAGCTAATTTAAAAAAATGACCTGATTAGCCCAAAATAATGAACATTTACAAGCTAAAAAATTTAGTCTAATGTATATGGTTTAAATTACTCCAAACATCAAACTTTTGCTTGGACTCATTGAACCAAAAATAAGGATACATTTATTATAACTTTTAGCTGCAAGCTTGAAATTTTAAATTTTCATATACTAAATTGATTGAATACTTTTATAGGACTTGTACTTGTATCCATGCTATTTTAGCATGCTATGGGTACTATGTGTAGGACTTACTCCTTGATTTTAGCCATTTGAGAATCAATGATAATGTCATCGTTTTTCTTTTTCTCTTTTCTAATGCTAATACTTGTTTACTTTTTTAATTAATAAGTTGCAACCATCCATCCCTGTGGTGCTACAGCCCATGACCATGAAGGGCTTTGGCCTGCCTCACTACTTTCTTCCACTCAGATCTAACTAAAGCTTTTCTTTTCCATGCTTGGATTCCCAGTTGCTGTAGATCTTTTTCCACATCATCTATCCATCTAAGCCTAGGTCTGTCTTTGAACCGTTTTCCCCTTGGGTTTTGGTGATGTACCCTCTTCACTCGTCTGTCATTCTTTCTAAGTGTAGCCGGCCATTTTTTTAATTTCTGGTAAGGCTAAGTTGCAACACCACATCAAATTTGAGCTTTTTATCTTTAATATTTATTTAGATATGATTAATTTTCATTAAAAAATGTCCAATTTATTGAATTTATATTTTGTTAAAATAAGATTTTATTTTTTTGTAAATTATTTAAAATCTTTGAAAACGCTTTCTAAATATTCTATTACACATACTTTCATTCATAAATGTATAATATTATTAACAAATCCTGTAAATTCATATGACATTTTTCCATTAAGAAATATTCAAGAAATATGGGCGAAAGAAAGTGATGAGCTATATAAAAATGGGTTAAAAAATAAAAAATGTGGAGGAAAACTCAATGGTAAAAATAAAAAAAATAGTACATTAGGGCCTACATGATGTCCTCACAAAAAAAAAAATTAATAAATATAACCTTTGAACCACTTGACTTTGAACTAGAATTAGAAATTTGATCTCAGACTCAGAGATTTTTTTGTTTGTGCTTTGTTGTTGTTTTTTTTTTAAATTCTTTGGGATATCAGTCAATTTTCTCTATTCAAGTGTATTGCATTTAATTTATATATAAATTTATATAAATTAAAAACTGAAAAGGCTAAGTGACTTAGTAAGTCTAAGTGATTAATTAAATCATTTAAATCATATTGCCAGACTAAAATAACAATAAAAGTTTTAAAATTACATAATTCCCTTATCTTCTAAACTTATAAAATATATTTAAAAAATAGTAAATAACCAAAAATTATAACGTATGATAATGTATATTTGTAAACCATATGCCACCTACCTAGATTAATTTAAGGATGAAAAATAGGTTCGCTTTTCGTTTAAAATTTACAAATCCTGTTCGTGGTTTTTAAAGACATTTCTGTCTACTCATGAGGCTATTGTGCTCAGAAGATCTCCCAGTGCATAACTTGAGTTTAAAATTTAAAAAAAAAAAAAGCTAAATACAACTTTAGCCTTATTGATATAAATTTTATAACATAGTTAACATATATTATGATATTCAAATTCATAGATTATATAGGCCAAATGAATATTTTCTTAAGGAATTTTGCAAAGAATGAAATATTAATTAACGATTTTGGGCCTTATACTAATTATACTTTGTAGTTACATATAATTTATTATAATTATTACTAAATTACTGAAACAAAAGTGAGCAACGGATATTCTCCGGTTAAAATTGATATATTTTAAATAAAATATTAGCTTCACTAAAATATAGTTTACAAATCTACTCGATTTGCTGTCTTATATTTAGGCTCTCGAAAAATATGAACTTACTTAATAAAAATCGGATCCCTCCCCCCCCCCCCCCCCCCCCGTGCATTCTTTTCAAGTCCTAAGTAACTCATCCATTACTCAGTGCTGCAAATTGTATACAAAATGGCTGACTTTGGATATCAAAGAAGAAAACTAGTGAGTTTATTATCATTTAATCCATATTTAAGCAAAGAAGGTTATATTTAACAATATTTGAATTACAATATAAATATTGCAAGCTTATTTTGAAGTTCAAAACTAATTTTATTTACGCTTTATTGCTTTACTTTAAGCAGTTAATGTTTCAACTTTCATGTTGCAACTTGCATTTCATTAACTAACTTAGACTTAGAGTTACTAAGAATAAGAGTTGAGTTTATTATTTGCTATTAGAATTTTAAACGCTGCAATAAAATTCACTTAGGCCTAAGTAACAATGACTTAAATCTAACATTGGGTAATCTAATATTTCAGCCTCGGTTATGAAAAAAATCGCGTTGTTCTGGTTTGAATTTGAAGTGCTTTTAAAAGGTTATTCTTTTATTTATGTCTGTTAATAGTACAGTGGAGAGGACCACTGAATTTTTGGTAGCATAGAAAGAGAGAGTGAGTGCTATTTTCTTGTTGAGGTGCCATGCCAATGGGCAATCACATTAGGGGAGGCTCACTTATTGATATTGTATCAGACGGATGGGCGGCTTATGCAAACATAAACCAAATCAGACTTAGAAACTATGAACACTCAGTTGTTTTTCATCAAAAAAATTTATTCAATCCACACACAGACTGTTCAAAATATTTGGATGCACACAAAGCGCAAACTGAAGAAACAGTTTGACACAAGCAGGCATCTTTTCCCTTCATTTGAGATGAAATAAACTCAAAATCTGTTTTCTTTTCATACAATAAATTGTTTAGATATTTCTATTTTAAAAATGTTGTCTTTTTTATATCTGCTGAAATGAATACCGGTATGTGCAATGTCATAAAAAAAATTACCTACCTTTTATTGTAGTATAATACCGGTATGTACAATGTCATAAAAAAAATTAAAGCAATAACCGTTTAAGTACCACTTCAAACCAAAACCACATGATTTTTTCATAACCGACTCTCAAGTGATACACTACCTTTTATTGTAGTATAGAACCTTATAATTAGTTTAGTATAAATGTTCAGTAAATTCCAACTGTAAATTGCTTGGACCGTTAGGAGGGTATAATTCTGACTAAGTAGTAAAACTATTTAACAATTTTTACTGATAAATAACCATTTAATAATATGATTTTAATTGTTATTCTTGTATGGAAAGCTAATGAGCTAATAAAATCTTAAAATATACAATCCTTCTATATTTAAGGTTACTATTTGTCTTATTTTTACCAGTTCAGTACTAGGTTTTAAACCTGATTACTCATGAGCTATAACCAGTACAGTTAAAGACTACAAAATTAAATATTAATTAAAATGATAAAATAAATAGGCCTCCTCATTATGTCATTGCATTATTTAAATTTGATAACTTTTATATTATTTCTGATTTTTACTGCAACAATCCCTCTTTAACCCTTTCAGCATTAGTAGATTACCTTAATTGTGTGTGCTGAACATTTCTGTCTATGTATTTTCATTGTTTTTAATGGTAGTAATTTTATTGCTGCTAATGTAAAAAGAAATAAACATGCTACAAGTTAAAATAAGAGCATGGTAGATAGGAAAGCTCCAGCATGAAATAAAGGTTCAAATTAGAGATTTTGAAAAATAGCACATTGTATTCATTAAATACAATGAAAACTATATGATTTTTTTTTAAAATCAGGATTACCTGCCTGATGATGACTTCCAATACAGTGATACTTTACAAGAGGACTCTAAGGTAGATGATATAAATAATCATGAAAAAACTGCAATGAATGTAAAAAAAACGTATTCGTTTCTAATTTTATGTAATATTGTTTCTTGGTGTCGAGCGATTGTAGAAAAATATTTGTATTATTTAGTTAAGCTTTTAACAAAAATTATTTAAAACAGGAAGAGATTCGTGAATGGATGGATGTTAACAGAAAGCTTCGCAGGCATGGGATGGAGTCTGTTCGAGTCTTTTCATCACAAGATGTTGCATTAAGTTCAGGTTCAGAATGATTTTTTTTGTGCAAATATTTTGTAGAGAGTTCAATGGTTTGATAAAAATGTTTTTATTTATTATCCATTGAATGTAGATTACCTTTGAATGAGAACTTTATTTTTTAAAAGAATAAGATATTTGATGTGTTTTTATGCTGGGTTTATTTCCAGTTTTATTTGAAAAATGCTGACAAGTTTAGAGTTTACTTGTTAAATTTTTTCTGTACTGTTAAAAGAAGCAGACCTGTTTACCCTCAAACTCTTAAAATCGTAGAGTATCATCACAAAATCGTTCAATACGTTATATTTATAGTAAAAAATTAACAGTATATACAATCTATGCGCCTAAAAATCGTACATTGTACGCCAAAATCGTAAGAGTAAACAGGTCTGAAGAAGAATGATAAAATATTTTATTTTAATTTAAATTAAATATAAAGAAAAGATTAATTTTATTTTTAAAAAAAAATTAATTAAAGATTTTGTATTCAGTTATTTGGTTTTAACTTGTCCAAAAAAGATTATTAAAAAAATTGTCAACAATTTTCTATAAAAGATCTAAAAAATTACTTAAAAGTTGTCATTTGTAGAATTTTGCAAAATAACATAAGTCTCCCCTTAAAGTTTAAAAGCAAGTGTTACTTAAAATATCTAACCACAAAATTTACTTTTAGACACCTAAAACAATTTTTTAGAATATAATATTCTAGGAAGCATGTGAAAATTAAAAAATATCTTTCAGTTAGCTTAGTTAGCATAATAACAACATGTTATGTAATATGCAGTTGATACCATTATTATATATTTTACAACATATTCTTTCAATTATTTTAGAAATTAATTGTTTAATATAATTTTTCAGGTCGTTATATTTGTATAGACTTAGAAGCAAGCCAGTCTCTAAGGACAGCTGTTATCTCTCTAATCTCAGAGATTGAAAAGAAAGAAAACGTAATGCAGGAGGTCCTGTTAACCAATTCCCAGCTACAGTAAGTTAATCTCCTAATTTGTTTTATAATGCAAGAAAATAATTCCTGATATTATCTACATTGTTTGTCAGTCAACTCGCCAAGGACCACTTTAATCATCTGATTCTATGTTGCTCGGAATGATTCTATCTCGCTATGTGCAGGTCGGTGATGTTAACAATTCTGCCACATAATTTTCTTGTGCAGCAATTACCAGGGATAGATGGGATATTTCCAGCTGCAGTGGTGACCTGGGCTTTTCTGGATGATCTTTTTTGTTCTGTGGCAGCTGCTCTGTTTGTTCATGTTGCATTGAGCTGTTTTGCACCAACGAGCACGAAGGAGCTTAATCCTTTGCCTTGTTTCCACGTGTCTAGGTTTCTGTGGAAGGCTCTTAGGGTTCTTTCATGTGTTTCTTCTGACCACCAGCATTAAAATAGTTTAGAAGCTGGTTAGACCTGCCTGTGCCAGTAGCTCAGTGTCTGGGAACCACCAGCAAACCACAGCATTAAAATAGTTTAGAGGCTGGTTAGACCTGCCTGTGCCAGTAGCTCAGTGTCTGGGAACCACCAGCATACCACAGCATTAAAATAGTTTAGAGGCTGGTTAGACCTGCCTGTGCCAGTAGCTCAGTGTCTGGGAACCACCAGCATACCACAGCATTAAAATAGTTTAGAGGCTGGTTAGACCTGCCTGTGCCAGTAGCTCAGCGTCTGGGAACCACCAGCATACCACTGCATGTAAATAGTTTAGAAGCTGGTTAGACCTGCCTGTGCCAGTAGCTCAGTGTCTGGGACCTTGTCCTTCCATTTACATGTATACATAATTAGCATGAGTCAAATATGGTCAAGTTAAACTTAAAACTTATTGTTACGTACCGCTATAATGTAGAAAATTGAATCTCTTATTTTACTCTATGGCTCATGTCAAACAGTACATAACAAAGGACGATACCATTAATTTAATACCGCAATAAAGAACGATACCCAAACTAGGGCTATTTACAATTAATCATTTATTAAGTTAATTTAAAATTGCAAAGTCAGAATAAAACTAAGGCTATTGACTGCAGAACAGCAACGAACTTGTACTGGTAAAAAGGTGAAAAAGGTGCACACACACACACAATAAATATTATTATACAAATCTACAATCAGTACTGTATCGTAAAACGCTGTCTCTCTCTTTGTCTCGCAGTCTCTATCTCGCTGTGTCAATTTCTTTTTTATAGTCTTTCTTAGAGACTTTTCCAGAAAAGGGTTCGGCATTGTATCTCAACCCGTCTCATAATTTCTAAAGAATTCTAATTATAAAAATTATAGACTGTGTTTATGTGTAGTCAAGAGAGAGAATTTGTAATTAAACCACACCCATCGTCATGCTCAGGTTCCCGATGTAAACAAGACGCCTACTGTAACACTTAGCAAAACTGATTTCTTAATTTGAAACTTTATATAGAAGAATCGGCTCAAAACCCTAAAAATTATTTCAAAATACAATACTCTGATCATGCTTAACTAGGGTAATAAGGGGAGAGACTGCAATCAGGTTAGCACTATATAAAATGAGTAACCCTTGTTTTGTTGCGTTCCTTTTTTCATGTTTACCCCTACTTTGTTTTACTCATTTTATATCATGCTTAACTAAAAGGCACTTAGATTTCAGACTAACTAGTTTTAGAAATTTCATATAAATATTTATGAATAGAAATTAATGGTGCAATCAGTGAAATTTCCTTATCAACACCAGGAACAGAAACATTGCAAATCCCATCTACATGCATAGGAGCCAAAATGATCAATAAAGTGATCGTGGGCCCTAAAGATATAGAAGAAGAAGAACTAGATATTTATTTAAAACTCACATAACTTTTTGTTAAATTAAGCCATATATTAAGCCTTCACATATCACTTACCAGGAAAAAAGCAAGTCAGCTGAGCAATGAAGTTGAAACAGCCAATGCTAAGGCCAAAGACATTAAAGTCATGCTGGAATGCTCAAGGGCTCGTGTGCAGGTGAGTGATGACTAGATTTAACAGCCACACAAAAAAGATCTTCATCACAGTGGCAATGCATCTCAGGATTATATAATATTTTTTAAAGCTTTTATATCAAGGTAATTATTGAGTTTCTAAGCATTTCTTTATCTTAAGCATATAATATTTTAGTCTATATTAGTTTTAGACAAGTTTTGTACATGTTATTGCGAGACTTTACATATTATATGAGTATAATATATCGTTTACCAGTACGGTAATTTAAAAAATTCGTACACACACTTATAAAGTGACCCCTTACTTTTAAGTAGATTAATGAGACACAAACAATTTATGTAAATAAAACAATATAGATTAAGCTTTAATAATGATTAAATATAATACAAATGAAAAAGCTTTTCGGCAAATGCCTTCATCAGTACAACAACAAAATTAATATAAGTATAAATTAAACTGCATGCAAGTAATACACCTGATAGAATGTATATGCAGAATAAATTACTAAAAAGATTTGGTACTTTGACTCAATACGGCATAAACCAAATTCACAATTTTACATATCTGCAATGTCTTTTTTTTCGTCTATTTTAAATTTTACTTCCACCCACTTCCTTTCTGTTTTTCTGGGCTTTGTTTTCTTTAGGGACTTGCGCCCATTCTTATTCTTTTCTCTCATTGCTAGGCAGGATACATATTTATATATTACGTAAATTTAATTTGTATCTCATTTATCAACTTAAAAGCTTTCTCTTAGTTCAACACTCTCTTAATTAATTGATACTTTTAAGTACCGGTAGCATGTTTTACCCATACTTTCTTGCATAATGTGTGGTAACTATAAGATAAGTCAGGGTAGGAAATTTCTCTCAACAGGAATTGGAAGAAGATAGATCTCGATCAAATTCTAGATTTGCAGAAGAGGGGGAGAGATTAAAGAACACAAAATCATCCATGGCATCATCGTGCCGTCAGTTGGAAGCTAAAGTGGCAGAGCAAGAAAAAGAGTTGGAGAGATTGCATAGAGAGGTCCTATCTTATTCTCAAGAGGTAAACAATTGCTACTATTTATAAATTTTTCCCTTGGTTCCATTTGTGTCAAATTGAGGGTTACCCTCCCACCACTCACATTTTTATTATTTTTCCAATTAGATTTTTCTGCAATATTGTACAACGTATTATGAACCTAATATAATATATGTTTCATTTTAATCTTAAAGAATAAAACTACATTTTCTTATGGTTCTTATGGAATTTAAATCAATTAGCCCTTAAACATAAATCTTTTATAAATATTAATCCCATATTTATTTTTTAAAATAAATCAAAATAAATCCTATTAAGTAACACTTTTTTAATACCTCAAGGAGGAGCGGAGGAACCAGCGTAATAAAAAAGCATTTACAGAATTTAAACATAGGCCGTACAGGGCTAATTCAGCTGTGGATCAGAAGTAAGTGATATTTAATCACTGTCAAGAGTACGCTTTTTACCCTATTAAATTCAGGTAACTAAATGGCATCTCTACATTTGCATATGCTCTGGTATTGTGGTTTGGTTCAGTAGGGTTTGGTTTTGCATTATTTGTGCATATGGGGAGAGATTCTCCAACAATCTGCATCCAAAACAAAATAAATGAAATTTATAGAACCTAAATATAATATCAAAATAAAACTATCTTTGTAACAGATTGCAGATCTGCCCAATGACATGTTAGTAACTTTACCCCAAGCCTTATTCAAAGTGCTAATGTAACTTGTTTTATGTAATTAGCTGTTTTAGTTGCTATTTAAAATTATGTAAATTTCCTGTTTTAAATAATTTAAAAACATTCTTAGAAATTTACATTTTTTCCCAGGATTTCCTCACAAAATGTGAGGTTTTTTTCTCTTGAAAGTGGAATAGATCTACATTTTTAATCCTTGTATGTTAAAAAGAAATCAATAATTGTAAAGCAATAACTATTTATTAAAGATGTCATGAAAGTATAAAATGTCAGAACAAAATATTTTATTTAGTCTATATTTTTAAAATTCAACTGACAGTTTTTACCAGAAAAATGTTTCGTTTGTTTAGGGCTTTAACTTAAGTCATGGACATCAATCGGAAAATTCCTTGTTTTTAAGTTTAAGTAGATTGGTTGATACAAGGGAAAAAAAGTATACATTTTGTGATAGAATAATTTGAGATAATTTAAGTTGCATTCATAAACTGTCTAGTCTGGTCATATACAGCTTATTGCACAATTACTTATAAAATATTATTAATAATATTATGCAACTGCTGAACTTAATTATATGCATTCAGCCATTCAAAGTAAAATCTTAAAATAGATAATCTTTTTTCTTTGTTTGGATGCAGCTAATTAGTTTGTATGCTAATAAGGGACGGTGTCTGAAAATGTACAAGTTGCACTTGGGGGTGGGGAGTATACGAATGGAAAGATAATCAATTTGAATGTAATAACTTTACAAAAATTATTTTTATTTGTAGCATTGCTACTTATTTCACGAGAGTGAGAATATTTAGAAAATTAAGTTTCTTATTAAGAAGAACAAAATTACTGTTGTTGACCAATAGATTCACAAATATTGTGTTCTTGAAAAAAAAATATCTTAAATTTATTCCCATAAACTTATCCTACTGTGATGTTACCCAGTGGCAGCACTTACAGGTCTGCATATTATGCTTGCTGCCTACGAAACAAACTGTAAGGAGTTCAAAAATTAGAATTTCAGATCTAAATGTGCACACATTTAAATTTTGGTTTAAGATTCAAATCACAATTTACTTGAAATGTAATATATTTGGTTAAGTTCATGAGCCTTTAATTAATTTTTTTTTAGTTTAAATTTTAATTTAAACGTTTTATAACCCGGGGTCTCAAAGTCAAACCAACTACTTTTAGGCTGCATCATACTTAAATATATTATCATCAAACCTTTTCTTATTACATTACCAGAGACCTATCAGCTGGATGTATAAAAGCTAAAAATGAGTTTTGAGACCCTTTTATAGTAATAGACTAAGCATTTGCCCAGTTCAGCCCATAATTCCTAAGTTTAAGGTTAAATGTGCCAAAATCTAGAAGAAAAATTATACTCTTTTATTGATTTTAATTATTCACTGACTTTACAAATATATTTAAAGTAAATCACCAGAATAACATGCTAAAATATCAAACGTTGTTTTAGTCATTAGTTTGAAATAGAATTATGCTTTTATTTCACTAACAATTTTATAGTTTCTGCCGGTAAATTCAAGTTTTTCATCTCTTTTATCAAAATTGATTCAGCTATTTTAATATGCCTTATAATCAATGCACTGAGATTATTGTATTCCATGTAGAGTTGGAACTGTTCAAAATGTAAAGCACTTTTAATCTACAGCTCTAATTTTGATTGAAGTGAAATATTTGAAAAGAAGATGTGGCTTTGATAAATTTTATTTAAACTGAAAGGAAATAAAAAACAAAAAAAAAAACAACCAAAAAAAAAGAATAAATGTGTATGTTTCATGCATTTCTTTCAATGAAATGCTAATTACATATTTTTGGATAGTTTCATATATTATACTTCTTTTTTTTGCTTTTTAAAAACTATTTTGTAGATTACTGGACTTGATAGATTCTTACGAAAAGCAGATCCATATCCTGCAGAAGGAACTTGATGATAACAGGTGATAAGCAGTTTTGACTGGTTTTGATAACTGCTTTTAATAATGCAGGCTTGTGACTTTGGGGTCAGGAGTGGCTGAGACAATACTTGTAATAATAGTGGGTGTGGTGTGTCTATGGGAGCAGGAGTGGGTGAGACAATAATTGTAATAATAGTGGGTTGTGTCTAACTATGGGGGCAGAAGTGGGTGAGACAATACTTTTAAAAAAGCTTGGTTTTGTCTATCAGGGCTGAGACAATGCTTTGCTCAAATTTGTAGATTCTCAGCTGTTGACAAGGTTTATTAAACTTCTCTTCTAAAAATGTTTTGGGCTCTTTAGATCCAGAATTATTTTCTCTTATGCAGGTCACATAACTGACTGACCACCCTTGAGATAAGGAATTTTTTTTTAAAAGTCGCCACACTCCACTAATAATAATTTATTTATAATTATTTATGTCATTTCATTTAATATACATCTAAAAAGGGTCTTTAAGGTAGTGTCGATTTTTTTCTACAAATGAAAAACAAAAATTGAAATTTTTAAGAAAAAAAAAACAACCTCTGTTCTAAATAGTGTGATTAAACAATATCTTTATTAGATGAAATACGTTCTTCCTCAAAGAGGTAATGTTGGAACAAGTTTAGATTATTTAATAAATGTACATTGTTTAAAAGAGCTAAAATCACTTGAGTATATTCAACAACTCTAATCTTTTTCACCTTCAAGGCTTGGAGAAGTTTCTTCTGATTTTGAAGACCACTCACAGTCAAATAATAATGTAAAAGATATTAATAAGGTAAAAAATAAATATATTTGTCTATTTCTGTTTTTTATTTATATGGCACAAATAAAACCTTTTTTTTTTTTGCTTGCCTGATATATATTCATTTAATTTATTTTTTATTGAAGTCTAGATTTTAATTAAAGCTGTTAAAATATTTACTAACCAATCTTAAGGCAAAAAATGTGATCCATTTTGGCATTAATGCTTCCAAAATTAGTTTAATTACTTTGTTCACATAAACTTTTAAAAATTAAAACTAAATAATAAATTTTGTCACAGGGAAGTCTTAGTTTTTTTTAAATATTACATTTTTTTGTCTGCTCTTTTCTTTGTTTGCAGTTATATGAAAAGCAGCTGAGGGAAAAAGAAAAAAAAATTAAGTTGTTAGAAGAAGAGAATAAAATGTTGAAGCGAGACTTTGGTTCAAAGTGAGTCTGGCATCATGAAATTTATAAGGAATTATATAGGGTTATGTATGGAAATATGTATAATTATAGGGAAATATATACTAATATAATGAGTTTGCAGATAACTAGTGCGACAGAGACATAAACTGTGTCTATTCTGGTCATATGCAGCTTAATGCACAATTAATTATTAAATATTATTAATAATATTATGCAACTGCTGAATTGTGAGATATATAGATTTTTTTAAAATGCTCTAGTTAAACTAATAGTTTCTTTATGTGTGTGATTTTTGAACAGGTATGAAATTAAAGACTACAGACTGCAATCTCTTAGAGTTAAGAAGCTGGAGAATTTGCTTCAACTCCATAACATCAGGTAATGGGCACAGATGTACAAATAGAACCAATGTGGAATATAGACAAAATGTTGGTTTATTATTTGGTTTGAAGCAGAGTTTCATATAAAAAAATATTGTTGGCTGAATTTTAAAAGATTCCCCAACAAATAAACAAAAATAAAAATGAATGTCAAAGTTTTATTCAGTTTTTTGCTTGTTTTATAAACAATATTAAAAAAAACCAACCTATGTGTAATGTCTGATTGCTAATGTTTTGCAATTATTTTGCTAATAAAAAAAATTCTTACGCTACATCCAAAGCTTTTTTTCCCCCTTCAATAACTTTTACATTGAGTTTATAATTACATCAAAGTAGAGATTATATTAAAACTTGTGAATTTATCAGTCAACATTTATTTTTGAGGACTAGCTCAGCTGTAAATCTTGGCAGCTTGGTTTCATTAAATTTTACTTTTCAGACACGGCCCCATAGAAAAGTTTCAATGGTAATGCATTAGCATTTAGAAATATTTGGTCAGGCCTAGTTATGTGAATATTTTCTGAATTACCTCTTGAAAGCTAGTTGAATCTCCAATTAAGGTTGGGGTGTAGACCAAAATTTGATTCTTAGAAATTTGAGGTTTAACAAAAATATTAACTTTTAAATGCTTTTGTTCAGTATACCTGGAGAGAAGGCAAGCAAAGATCCTTTCATCAGGAGAAAAAAATTTAGCACTAAACTTGAAGACTTGGAATATTTACCATTAGAGCCATGTCATCACTATCTCAAGGTATGGCTGATAGCTTTACGCAGGTTTTTAAAAAGTTATGTTCATACAGATGAACCTGATTGCTCCTAACACCAGTTATTTTATTGAAAAAAAATAATAATTTTAAAAAAAAATTATATTAGTAATATTATTACCTACCAGGAAATTTGTAAAGAGCTTGAGACTGAAAATTTGGATTGTATGATTGCTGAAATTCAGGAGTTGAAACGTGAAGGACACAGTTCTAACAGGTTTCATGAGGTACACTCTTTTATTTTGTTCTTTAAATTGGCAGATATATAAAGTTATGTAACCTTAACAAAAATGTATTTAGAAATGGTTAGTTAACTGTCTAAACCTTTCAAAATATATGAAGTATTTAGTCTATTCTAGTTTTCAGTTACAATGTGTTATATTTAAAATTGATCTCATCTGTCAGTACTGCAAAGAGTTGGCTGACATTGTGGGCCTGAATGAAGGCAACCATCGGAATCGCTCTTGTAGACATGAGAAAAATCCAGCAACTTTACTCTGTGATAGTAACATGAGGTATTACTTGGAGGTAAGCAGAGATTAGGATAATCTCAAACTATCCCCTTGGGCCAGTTGAGCAGCTATTTCATGTGTAGAAACATTACTTAGAGATAAGATGAAGGAGAGATAAGGATAATCTCAAACTGTTAACTGATATTGGGGACAGATGAGTGGCTGTTCATCTTTCAGAAATTAAGACTCTCTATTTCAAATCTGGCCTGTTAAAAAATGGCTGCTCTACTATAACTATAACTATAACTCTAATAATAAATCTAACATAAAAAATTAAAAAGCTCGCATGCAATCCTAAGCTGCTTGAAAACTGGAATGAACCCCATTTTATTATTCTAACTTCTGATCCCAGTTATTTTCCTTATTAAAATTGTTGTGATTAAAAATACATATTTTAAAAGCCATTTTACCTTTGTTGTACAAGGTGGTTGAAAACTGGCATAAAGACATCTCAGCCTTGGGTGAGCTTCAAGAGGTCATCAATGAGCTGCTAGACAAGGTTGTCCCATGGCTGAAAGCTCGCATGAACCAAGACCACAGCGTTGAGGAGATGGTGGAGCTTCTTGAGAGAGTCATCCATGCAGAAAAGAATGAAGGAAAGAAGGTGGGACTGTAAAATAAATTGTCGGAAACCAACCTAGAATTTAATGAGTATTTCTAGATTTATTCAGAGATCAGATAGTCTAAGGATGCTCAGAAAAAAAAAAAACAACACAGTCAAATCTTTAAAAGTGAAGCTAATAAAAACTAGTAATATTTATTTTATAATACAGTCCTGAGTTTCGTCACCAAAAGTAATAATCCAAACGGTGGTGTAGCCATGGGTGGGACCAACTATATAGTAGTAGTAACCCATTTGACTACCCTCAGTTTGGAACCTCGAGTGACTTCCCATTAATTGCTACACTGCTAAATATATTAAACAGTAGGCTATAAGTTAAAAGTTAAGCATAACTTAATCTGTCGAAACAAAACAAAACTAGCATTTAATTTTAACAAATTGATTCAATGAATTTAAATAAAAGGTCTTACACATGGATGGATTTTCTTAAACTATTATACAAACATCGACACCATTATAATTAGAGGCTAAAATAGTTACAGTATTCAATTTATTTGAGAAAACGCAGTTGAATTCAGACTAATACAAAAACTTTTTAACTCAGGTAATGATGGAAGATGTATCTAGAACTACATTAGAACATATAGTCAGTCACTTCCAGACCTTGTTTGACATCCCCAAAATTTCTGGGGTCTTCCCTCGCATGAATGAGATCTACCGGGTGCTTGGAGAGTCTAAGAATGTAATGAACACATTGAAGAGTTTACTGGGCCTTGGTGAGTAGTGGCATACCCTGTCCTTAAAGTTAATGAAGTACATCAGCAGAGCAGACATTTGTATACACCCACATGTTTTGTGCAGAACATATTTTAAAATTTAAATTAACAACTATCACAGCAAAACTTTTCATCGTGTGTTAAGAATGCAGTTTGTATTATTTTTGTTCTGTCTGTCATTTTTGGATATTAAAAAAATAAGTAGACCTCTGCAGTATTTTCTTCAAAAATTTCTCCTTTGTTAACTAACATTATATATTTACAAATATCCTCTAAAACGTAAACTATTGATGCAATCCTTTCAAAAAACTGTGTGGTATTGAGCACTGGTACTGGGACCATGGTCCGACGCCGCGCCGCACCCCGCGCCCCGTCCGTTCCTCTACTTCGCTGTAATCCTTTCAAAAAACTTGGTGGGATTGAGCACTGGTACTGAGTAGGGTTTCATGCCATTATGATTAATTCCCCCCCCCCCTCCCAGAGGCTGATATCCACACCTCAGCGCTGGTAGATGCAGTGGGTAGATTATGTCATGTCCACAACTCAACAACAGCCAAACAACTCAAGAAACTCCTTCAAACAGATGATTTAAATGGGTGAGCTCAGAAGGTTATTAACACTAACTCAGGGTTCTGTAACCTTTTGACCAAGTACGAGAGCTTACCAACTTTTAAAAATATATTTTTAGATGCATTTTATTAGTCATTTTATTTCTTTGGTCTTCTGCATGCTGTTGAAAATGTCTCTTGCGCTTTGTCTGGCTCATTGCCATGGCATTCATTAACTTATCAACTTAGGCTTGATGATAGTCACATATTTTTTTTTTTTTACTTCTTATTCTTATAAATTATAAAGAACTTAAAGTTGTTTAAAGTTTTGATGTTTGTTCTTCAAGGGTTGTTCGACGCTTAGAGGAGCACTCTGACTTTTTCCCAGCTTTCCACGGTGTAATGCATAAATTATTTGAAATTTTAGGTAAGTGCTAATAAGAGTTATCAGAAACAATACTTAAATCAAGTCTTATGAGATGAAATTCACACAAGCTTTTCTTTTTTGTAACAATGACTTTTAATATTGAAAATACTTGATACATTTCTCAAAGTGCTCTTTCAAAGTTCAGGCTGTTTCTCATAACTTTACAACAGGAGAAATGCAACTTAATTTCATCGTTCATTTCAAATCTTTTACTATCTTTTTCCCATTTTACACCATTGAAGAATCCGTCAAAATCAATATTTCATGTATGGCAATATATTATATTATATTGATCCAAAATTTTTAAAACTATTTCTTTGTTATCTCCGCTAAGAGTAGATATATCTATATTATAAATTTTTGTTGTTGCCTGTCTCCACAGGTGTAGACAAGATGGATGAAATCCTTCCAGCTGTGCGTGCACTCAAGTTGTTAGCTAAATGATTCAATGGCAAAAAATAAACTGTGTAAACATATTTCCTAAAATATGAAGTAATTTTTTAAAAGCATTGCTCACAAGTCATTAATATTAATTAGTAGTTCCTACCCTTTTAGCACCATGAGCCCCCAAGTATGACCACCTCAGGTAAATAGAGCATATGCACATGCTTTATCTACCGGTAATTATTGTAAAGATGCTATATTATTAACAAAAGAAATAGTTTGATATTTCTACTTCATTATTATAACATCTCAATTTTTTAAAGTAATTTTTAAAAAATCTACACTTAGTTAATGGACCATATCCTTAGTTGAATACAGAAATCTGCAAATTCTAAATGAGAAGTTTTAGATTTTGGGATCAAATTGCCAAGTTATAAATAAATTAAATAAATGATTTTGTTATTTAGGAACCCCGTCATTTTTTTAAAAAGAGGATCTTGCAGTACCTGTATAAAATGTCATGGGGCCTGGCAGAGCTGAATATTTTAAAATGTGATAAAATTATTACGAAGTTACTAAACACTGAAGGTGTATTCCTTTTTTTTTGTAACAGTAATAGCAAGTAAGAGTAAATGTAAGCATAACTTTTATTTGTTTGTATGATATAGTAATGTAATAGTATTATATTTTACATCTTCCAATAAACGTTGCTTGAAAACACACCCTCTGCCCCTTAGCCTCATCCACTGGAAAGAAATGGTAGCAGGCTTAAATTAAAATACCGGTAGCTCATTTTCAAGGATGATCGCATAAAATAATTTTGGCTCACTATAATACTGTCTTCCACCTAAATTAAGTTACCTTCTTTTGCTAAAGTTAAGACCGAAAGGTATAAAACTTCCTTTGTTCTCCAGTTCTGTACCACAGTGTTTACCAAATCTAAGTCTAAGGATCACTAATGAAATCATTATTGTCACTAAATGAGTTCATTGATGGCTGATTTCAATGCAAGAGCAACACTTAAGATGTATGGTGTATAAATTGTTATGATTGTAATAGGTCGTCTTGGTTAAAGTACCCGCATGCAATTAATTATGTGCTGAAACTGAATATGTACAATGTAAAAAGTAATTTAAAAAAAAATATATCCATTTCTGAGGATCAATGAAAGAATCTTATCTTATAACTTATATTATATACAAAATAGTACGCATGAGTTGTTTTTAGTTTTTATATTATAAATAAATATTTTAGCAGTCTATCAACTAAGAAGAATTGTATTCAATTCATGTCTATCATGTTTAACTGCCAAATTTTTGGCAAGTTAATAAATGCTCAACTCAAACAAATTATGTTCTTCATGTTATGATTATTTGTTTCCCAAGTAAATACATAAATGATAATAGTACTTTTTCTTTTCATCATTTAACTTTAAATAAAACAGAAACAAGACTATAATTTATTCAGTTTATTCCATGTTATTTCGTAACAGTAAAAGTGAACATGTAACTAAATCTTTTTGAGAATTAACTTATTAAAATACCAAAATAGGCAAAATAGCCTCCAGTTTGTGCAATACGTTTAATTCCTCAGATCTCATGAATTAATATCATTAGACTTTTTAATAAGTTATTTCAGAGTATTATCTATATCAGATAAAATGAGATATTTAATAAAAAATAGAATCAGTGTGGTAACTACAGTAATTGAAAAATCCTTATGCTCACACAGAAAAAGACGCAAAAAATATTTTCTTTCAAAACACATACATTAAATACATGTACAATATAATAATGTTGCCAATAAAACAAATACTACAAAATCACTGCATACATCTTTATCTTTACAGAATGTCTTTAGATATCTGGCCTCTCTTCTGGTTTCTTAAGACTGCTGTAATCGATATTTGGGGCATAAAACTGAAATTTAAACAAAAACAAAATGCCAAGTATGAATTGCAACATTCTAATAATGTAACCATTTTGGGGGAAAAGATGAATTAAGTAGGTTTACACTTGACATTTTTACAAATTATTATTATTGAAGAACAGTTTTTCATCATGAGATCATTGTACCGGTAAACATCAAAGACTCATTGCCATTGGATGTAAAAATATTAAAACATATTCATTACCTTGTACTGCTTGTTAACAGGCCATCTAAGATTTGCCATTCCTTCATGTTTGTCCTTCCACCTAATTAAAAAAAAATAATATAAAAACAAATTAATTTTAATTAAACAATGAATTTTGAATTGATAAATGGATTTCTTTACCAGCCAAATGAAAGAAGAAATTTATAAATGCTTTTTCATTTCACACCTCTCCACTCATTGAAACAGATTTAATAAATAAATTTCTTTCCGTTCATAAAAATTGGCATGCGAGAAATATTTTGAGCATTAAATTTGATGGTTTAGCTCCTGTCATTTGACACCAACAACAACCCCCCCTCCCTTTTCAATTGATTTTTTCCTTACCCAACATCTGGGGACTTGGCGGCTAATCTATAAATGTAGTAGGCGGCCCATGCCATTCCTCCTCCAACGCACACAAAAAGAGGAATTAGCTGAAAATTCAAAAAGTTTTTATGCAAAGATTATTTGGACCACATATCACATAAGGGGTCACTGGGGTTGGCAATGTTAAGGAGCAGCTGTCAATGAATGATTTAAAACTTGTTAGCTGAATTAATACTTACTTATGTGTTACATAAATTAAAAATGTTTTTTTGGGTATCATTTGTCTATAGTAAATAAACGATGGTTATGTTATAATGACAAATTAATCTTTAAATAATAACTAAAATTTAATGTAATTGATAACTTGTCAAAATTAAGACAAATCAAGCATTAACATTTTAAAAATATACCATATTTTCGAGCATATAAGACTCAGGTTTTGACCTTTTGTGTAAAAAATTGCAAGAAGTCATTGATTGATGGCTTCAAATTAAATTGTTAATGAAAACAGTCTCATTAGTCCAATCAATAGTAAAAAGGCCCATACTGCATGCCTATGCCATATTTTTTTCCTTAAAAAATTGTAAATTTGGCGTTAAATTATAAACATATTCGACAGTTGAGTGTAACAATTGGAAGCTGTTGATATTCCTTTGAAAGACATACCAGTAATTATAATTCAACCATGGAAAATTTTAAAATATGTTGTCAGTTGTGAAACTCTTTGGTTTAATGATTAATGATAATGTGCTGTGTCAGTATTGGTATAAGTAATTTTCTTTGAGGACACCTAGGAAATGAATGTGAAGACATATTAGAAAATAGAAGTAGTCGTCAGTTTTTAATATTTAATGTGGTGAATTTGATTTATTTCAATAAACATTCACTTTATAATTTATACTATAAATATACTATAAATTATAAAGTGAAGATCGCCATTTTGACAACAAAATTATAATACCCGATTTTTCTTGGACCTGGGCAATATCTAAGTCAAAGTTCCTAAAAAAAGTAGTTACACTCGGTTTTTCCCTACAGCCTATGTTTTGTCTTAGTTTATTGGGCCTAAATATTTTCAATATTAATAAAGCCAAATGAATGTCACTTGCATGTGGCATGTATAATAATTTTTAAACTGCAAGGTTAAAATTTATTTACAATATTACATTTACACCTACATCGTCATTAGCCTACATGGCTTCAAAGACATTAAATAAGTCTCATATTCATAACTGTCTTATTTTAATATGAGTAATGACTGATTTAACCTTAACTTCACCACTATTGTCACTACTGACTTGAGCTAAAACTAGGACTAAGAATTTTTTTTTTAGCTTACTAAGTAATTAAAAGTCTAAGCCCTAAGCGGACTAAGCGTAACATAAGAAATAAGAAGACTAGCCCAAAAGCAAATTTAACCATTAAAAATAAGTCTTGTCACGAAAGCACATTTCCCACAAACTACTGATTTTACTAACTGAAGGGTGTTTTTTCAAACTGGCTACTGTAAGTCCTGGCATGGTCATGATTGCAGCTTTGTAGTATCCCCCACACAACTAACTAGTTATAGATTACTGCCCAATGTCATACACTTTTCATCGGGACAAAGTAAACGGAAACGGAAACACACGTTTAATCTCTAAACGATTTTCTATTTTGTTTCGGTACAACTGTAAAAGTAAGGTCCGGAGCTATGAGCTTTCGTAGAGTATTAGACCTATAATAATACATTTCTTTTGTTAGTAAATATTATTTTAAAATAATTGAAGAGCAGTCTACGGTTATTTTTAAGCTGACAGAACTGTTTTGAGTTGGAACAGAAATTGAAAGGGAAACTACCTAATGTAAACTGATAAATGGCAGTATCTCCACCCCTTAGTCCTTAGCCGTAATGACGTCATCTATGGAGGCCCCCATTATTAGTATTTATATTACATCATAATTAAAGCATCATTTTAGATTGGCTTTGCGTCAGAAATATTAACAGACATCGCCATTTTCGTGTGTTCTGTTTGGCCTTTTAATTAGCTGGACAAGTGGTTGAGAAGTTATTAGTATTTTTTGTTACCCTTTTCCAACGATTTTTTTAAAATAATGAAATTATTTACCGATCGACGCAATGGCGAAGCTAGAGTTAATGCCACTGGGGCGAGCCAAGTTTTTGCCGCCTCCCTACCACCAGGGTTTCTTCAGACAAACCCCCCCCCCCCAAAGAGCATTTCAGATTGGGCGGCGGGGGGCAGTGAAAGCTGCCAGAGGCGCAGCGGGGGGGGGGGGGAGAAGAGGACATACATACCCATGCACCATACTAGCGGGACGCCAAAACGGGATGTGATGGTATTTATTGATATTCTTACACTGAAGTATCTGCAGACAAACGGCTTTACCTTCGACAAAGTGGTGACCAGCCAAATAGTCCATAAGATTGTTTCTGCACGAGAAGCTCTGTCACTTGGTGGAACATACTATTGAAAAGGCCCTTTTAAAATCAGACCAATGTGGAATTTCGGTAGAGAGAAGATTAAGGTTTTAGAAGAGAGTGACAGGAGAACTATTTACGATCCACCATGGGTATTTTAAATGAAGTAAATTTAATGTAAAAATAACAATAGCGTAACGTTGTTACATTTTTTAAATTTAAATACATTTGCCCCCTGACCTTCGATTAATTTGCTTTTGTTCTTTTCATACTGTGGACTTATTTTAACAAGAAGAAATCCATCGTGGAAGTCGGGTAATTATTTAACCCAAGCGTATCTTCAGCCACGTACTGTCATATTAATCAGCGTGTGAGAGCGATGAGCAGAAGTTGAGGATGCCAAAAACTGTTGGGCAAATTCAAAATGCAGGGGTGCTACTTGAATTCAGTGTTTCTTTCAGAAAATTTTGAAGGGTACTTTCAGGTTTTATATTCCGGTATAAATGCATAATTTTATCTGAAGGAAATAGTATAAAATAAAATAAAACTTTCCCAAAATCAGTTAATTTAAATATTTATTTGAAATTTAAAACTACTATAGTCTAACTTTCTTCAGATAAATTACAAATTGACTCTTTGATAAACTTTAATATGTGACGATGGATGGGGCATTTTGATTATTATTCAAATAGTAAACAGAGAAAAGCAGCTGGGAATTTAATAAATATGTCGGCTAAGGCTAAACTAAGTATTTTAAAAAAAAAAAAAATGTTACAAAATCAGCACACTTAATATGATTTAATCATTTAAGTAAAACACAGACGCATTCGACTGGATAATAATAGATTAATCTTCGAATATTTGTATGCTCCTGTTAAATTCTAAATTTGTGAAGTTTTTTTATTCTATCTAGCTCAACATGTATGGGCCCGTCCATAAAGTATGTCACGTTATTTTTGACCATTTTACCCCCTCCCCCCTGTCACAAATCTCGGACCCCCCCCCCGCCCAAGTACGTCACACTTTCGAACAAAATTTAAAAAAAAATAAACACCTAATTAAAATTTAATCTAAAACACATTTCACTATTCAGCTGTATTAAATATAAAATTTCCACTTAAAATAACAATCACATATCACATTATTAAAATTACTCTAATAGTAGAATTGTTAATTATCAACCAGTTGTCACAGTTATTCATTGAAGCAGTAACTCAATCTAGATTGAATTTGAAAACAAAAATTGCAAAAATTAGACTTAGACAATTATATAATACACATCATTTATCTGCTGCTTTTTCATTTACAAAAGGTGAGGTCAAGTTTTAGATAATTTCCGATTATGCAATCTTTTTAAACAGGATAAGAAGTAGATTAGCGAAACTTGACCTCACCCAGTGATTAAATAATAAAAATGAAACAAACATTTTGACTTAAAAAAGACTAGATTGACGAATTATGTGACAAACTCTTGTGCTATATTGAATCTGTTTATTATGGGCCTGTGAATTATGTTTAATTCTAAAATATTCACGGGACATCCATCCATGGTGAAGTGAGTGTTCATCCATAGTTACGACTGGCATCAATCTTTCACCAACATCGTTTCCTGTAAGGATAATTGCAGACAGATCAACTTCATCCTCATGTAGCCACTCAACATCCTCTGAATGTGCATGTTCTCTTCTGGCAATAACTGCCATGAGTTCTCTTTGCCTTCTAGCAGTGATTTTCAAAGGACTGATACGTTTTATCTGAGTTGATTCTGGAACAGTTTGGGTGGACACATTCTCCCGTGCCCGAGCTCTGTGTTGTCCTGCATGTTTCTTCAACATTGTTTGTGGGGCAAAGTATAAGTGTCATACTTTGCAAACTCGATCAAGTAAGCTGATCTGCAAAGATGGACAATAAAAAGATCATATAGTTGTACTTTGAAAACTCCTGTTGATCTCGGCAAGGCTATACAACTATACATAAAACAAGGCGTCGCAACAGCATACTAGCGCTCCTTGCGAGAGGAATCGTGAACAACACAGTCAGGAGATACGCATTTCATGCTATTTTGAAATAAAACTACCGGTAATTCAAATGTTTCAAAAAATTTTTGAAAATTATTTTTAAAGCTATTAAATTCTACTTAAAAATAAAAAAAATAAATTAGAAATACATTTAAAAAAATAATAAATGTGTGACGTCACACATGGCCTCACCCCCCTTCCCACTGACACACTTTCTTCCACCCCCCCCCCCTTTCTGGAGCGTGACGTACTTTATGTACTTTAAGTAAAATTATTTTTAAAGCTATTAAATTCTACTTAAAAATAAAAAAAATAAATTAGAAATACATTTAAAAAAATAATAAATGTGTGACGTCACACATGGCCTCCCCCCCCTTCCCCCTGACACACTTTCTTACACCCCCCCCCCCTTTCTGGAGCGTGACGTACTTTATGTACTTTAAGGACGGCCCCCATCGAATCGAGTACATTTAAAACTATGCTAACTAATAACTATATTTACAAAAAAACACCAAAAAACGCATCATAATCAAACAATATTTATAATTAACGCTTACCCGATCCCTACTTTAAAATTCATGCTTGATTAAGAAAAATAATTTGAATACAGATTTGTACATGTTTGATACATAGCAGGAACTATATTATAAAATTATAGACCTTCATATTGATGAATGATGAAAAGGTAGTTTCCTGTTCGGAATGACTAGCCTATAGGTACCAGGGTACCTATAGCGAGTACCTATAGCATCAAAAGGCTATTCGGACCCTGCTGGTCACGTGAGGTCTATATAATTATTCGGTTGGTCACATGACGGATATGACGGATGACTACCTGTTGGATTGCCATCTTAGAGCCATCATTACCAACGAGAAATGTACCATATTTTGAAGACTCTTATGTAGCTGAAAAAACACGAAGAACAAGTGACGTACATCTAAAAGCAAGTAAGAATACGATTATATTTATAATTTTATCTTTTGATTCTATTTTAAATATAGTTCTATAATCATTAACATGACTATGACATCAATCAAGATTCAAGATCAAACTCAAAGTTGCTTTTTGGCGGCAAATCGGCTACTGTCTTATCTGTAATAGTAATAGTAATGAAAAGTTTGGCTGCGGCTATTCGGACCCGGTATCAGAAGTGGATACTTCAATTTTTAAATTCACTGCAAAAATTATTATTATTCACACTTCCGATACATCAAATGTTCTTTTGAAATAAAAAAAAAAATGGTTAATTCGGAGAGATCAGCCCGCGGCCGCCATCTTGGTTATCGTGACCCACGAACTTATGTCGCTAAATGTATCCTTATACCTAACCTGAACCCTAAATGTATCCCTAAACCTAACATGAACCCTAAAATTAAAGAGTATGAATACTCACTAATTCCAATTGCCAATAGTGGTTGGACTTTAACTATTTAATTTAAATAGATTAAATAAAGCTATTCAACGTTCCTTTTGAGAACCAGGAATTTTTTGTCAAAACACCCATGCAAACATGGCTGGTGTAAAAGCAATGTAAATGTAGGTACTTTGACACAAAGTTTAAATATTGTCCAATTGCAATGAATGATACATCATTTTAAAGGGCTAGCTATAAGCTTTGCAATTATTACACCAAGTGTGTGATTAATTTTTCAGTACTTTTTATGATGGTAACTTTCAGGTTAAAATTGTTCATGATTCATAGTAGGATATTGTCTTCATATTAATGCACGCTTGCGCTCTAATATAGTAAAGTTTCTGTCTTCTACTAATTCATGTATTATTTTACTTCCAGGTCAAAGTTGTTGTTTTCACAGAGATCACTTGAAGACCCCCGTCACTGCCAGAATTCACAGCTCCTCTTATGATGAATGTGCAGGAGGAATCATGACATGCCCATACAATGACTGGTCAACATTTTACTTCAGGTAAATACAATCCTTTTTATTCTATTTATTTTTCATTACCTATGCCACTAATTTTAAACAAAAATTTTTAGTTTTATTTTTTTACATCTAACTTGTTGCTTGATTTATCACACCGGGTATTAATCTTGAGGTAACTTGCCATTATTGGGATCTTGGAAATTTATTCCCAATGGATCATAAGCCGACCACAATCTTAGTTTTGGCCGGGAAAACCCTGAAAAGTGTCTAATCTGCTTATTAGTGTACTCTTTCAGTTTTGGCTGGGAAATTATTTTAAAGGTTTTCATAGAAACCTTAAAAATTATT